GGCGCCCTCGGGGGTCGCCCCGGTGCGCGGGAGGGAGGGCGGGCGCGGGGCTGCGGGAGCCGGTGGCGGCCGGAGCGCGGGCGCTGCCCCGCGTGCGGCCGGCCCCTGACCCGTGTGTTGCTCCCCGCAGTCGTCCTGCTGGATTCGAAGGAGTCGCAGGCGGAGCTGGGCTGGACCTCGCGTCCCTCCAACGGGGTAAGAGCCGAGGCGGGAGCGCCGTCCGCGCGGCAGCGCCGGGCCCTGCCGCCACCCCGGGGACACCGGCACCGCGGAGCCTCCGGCGCTGGGGTGTCGGGAGAGCCGGGACTCCCGGGAGCGCCCGCTCCGCAACGTCCTAAAGTTGCTGCTTCCCAGCAATAGCGGTGGGATTCCCTACAGGATGGCGGGGAAGCCGCGGACTATCTCCCTGGTGCAGACACGGGCCGAGAGCCCCGCACGGGCAGCCGTATTCCCGGGAGCCGGGTGCCCCGGGAGCGGCACCGAGTGGGAACGTCCAGCGTTAGCGATGCCGCAAACGCGGAGCCCTCCTGAGTGACTTCTGCTCGGGGCGCGCAAATAAACAGCAGCAAGTTAAGGCTCTGCCTTGTACTTTCCAAACCAGTTTTATCTCTCTGGGGGTTTGTTGGGCTGCCTGAAGAGCCCCGTGGCTGGGCTGGGATTGTCAGGAGCGTGGAAGAGGAAAGAGGATCCATGGCACGTGTGCGGTGTGACAGATGGGCCCTTCAGCAGGTGATGTCTCCGCTTTAGTGCTAGACTTCGGTTTGGAAGGTCGGATATATCCGTTCCTTCCTGTTGTATCTTCCTGAATTTACCTCTGCAGAGAGCTCAGCTGTTAGATGATACTGCGGCACAGCTGTGTTATTACGATGTGCGGTTTTGGTGGATTAAGGACTTCTAGTGTCTATGATGTAACGGCCTGTGGGTGGAGAGGCTTTTAGTGGTGGTATTTATAGCTCTCTGAGTGCTATGGGTTCCTGCTCAGAAGGTTGGTTCTTGGTAATGGCAGCTCTTGACGTGTCACAGCCCTTTGTGTTCCTTTCGCAGTGGGAAGAAATCAGTGGCGTCGATGAGAATTACAAGCCGATACGCACGTATCAAGTGTGCAACGTCATGGAGTCCAACCAGAACAACTGGCTGCAGACGGGCTGGATCGCCCGGCGGGACGGCCAGCGCATCTTCATTGAGCTGAAATTCACCCTGAGGGACTGCAATAGCATCCCTGGCGTGATGGGCACCTGCAAGGAGACTTTCAACCTCTACTACATCGAGTCCGACTCTGACCTGGGCCGCAGCGTCCATGAAAGCAGGCACACAAAAATAGACACCATTGCTGCTGATGAGAGCTTCACGCAGGGGGACCTGGGCGAGCGCAAGATGAAGCTCAACACGGAGCTGAGGGAGATTGGGCACCTGAGCAAGAAAGGCTTCCACCTGGGCTTCCAGGATGTGGGCGCCTGCGTGGCCCTGGTTTCCGTGCGGGTCTATTACAAGATGTGCCTGGCCACGGTGCAGAACCTGGCCCTCTTTCCGGACACCGTGGCGGAAACGGCCTTTGCGACTCTGGTGGAAGTTAAGGGCACTTGCGTCAACCACTCTGAAGTGGACCCGGATAATCCGCCTCGGATGCACTGCAGTGCCGAGGGAGAGTGGCTGGTCCCTATAGGGAAGTGCACGTGCAGTCCTGGCTTCGAAGAGAAGGACGGCGCGTGCGAAGGTAAAAACGGGCCGTTAATCTGCGCTGGTAGTTGTTGTCTGTTCTGGTTTGTTTTGCTGCTAGATGCTCCTGCCTCCCTGCTGCTCGTTTGGACAAGTGCAATCGCCTTTCGTCAGCTGTATGATTCTGGGGGTTGCAATGTTCTCAGCTAACAGCCAAAGCTTAATTTGAAGGGTGGCAATTGGGTAAATGGGTTGCGTTAGCGGTAGCGCGGTGTTGACTAGGAGACGTGCCAAAGCTCTCCTGCCATCAGGCATTTCCCACAGCTTTATGAATAACTATGAAGTTGCTCTAGAACATTAATATCCCCCTTGTGAAGCTTTAGACGCAACTTAATAATTCAGTGGCTTTACATCTTGCAAGGTTACTTCTAATGACAGCTGTAAAAATGGATATAACCTCTGCCTTACCTGGCATCACTCAAGTGGATTCGGTGACCGTTTCAGTCCTGCTTTGGAGCAAAGGCAGAGAGCGGGTGGGAGCCGGGGCTGGCTCATTCCTTGCAGCCACTGCTTGGGAAAGCCCTTGGAAGTGGAGGGAACCCACTGGGATAACAGCAGCTCCGCAGACACCCTCCCCTGCACAGGTTTTGGTCAGCGTCTCCAAAACCATTGCAGTTTGGTGGGATCTGGAATGCCTCTGTGTGGAGCGGGGTGTCAGAGCAACTGGGAGGAAGCTCTGACCTGTGTGTCTCTGCACCCGGGGAACGGGTGCTCCTTCCTACCATGAGCACCGAGTGACTCTTGCTTTTCCTTGGAAAGATATAATTAGTTGTTAATTATTTAACCGTGGTGAAATACAGCGGCAGGTGTTGCATTACTGGCTTAGCGGTGTGCACGAGGGAGGATGTCTGTGTTGCTGCTCCAGCAGCAAAGCTGCACTAGGGTGAGGAGACCTCAGGTGACCAGCCACAGTGTGTTTGAGGATAGGACTTTTATTTCTTTCTTTTTTTTTTCCCTTCATGGAATAGGTCATGCCTGAAAACCCCTTTTTCCCACCTCTGGGCAGTGTAGTGGCTTGGACTGTTGCTAATAGGCTGGTGTGGCTGCAACCAGTTTAACTCTGCTGCTGTAAATGTTTTGGCGGAGTGTAGGAGGAGAAGCAGCTTTATATCCTGGCTAAACAGGCCTAAGGGAATCGGTGACACCGGTCTGTTCTGTGCTGGGTATTTGCGGTGTGGAGGCGGAGGCCGTCACTTGGGGCCGGCCCCGGTGCTCTCGGGGTCCCCACTCTGCGCTAGGCGGCCTGCGGGGTGCCCAGGTTTGGCTCCCTAGCAGATCTGTTGAGAGGAAATTAGCTAAACGAGTCCAAAGAGCTCAATTGCTTTGAGATGCACGTGCACACAGCAGCAGTGAGCTTTGCCCGGGGAAGCAGACCTGGTTTTAGGAGCGACTTGAGGCTTTGCTTGTTTAAATTGTGATACCTGTGCCCCCTTCCTCTGGAAATTTGGAAAACCTGTAGCAGGAGAGCGTAGCGGTTATTCACTTAGTGCCCTCTGAAGAAGACCTTATTAAAACTATTGAATTGAAATCTCGGTGTTGTTCATTGCTTCAGTGCTTGTGTGGCAGCTCGCCATGCCTTCCCCATCTGTTTGGAGTGGGGATTTACATAGTGAGTCCCAGAAGGCTTTTGCTAGTGTTTCAGGTTTCTCTGTGTTGAGTTTAAATAATTCATATTCTCTAAGGAAAAATATTTGAAGTAATTTAATGGACGTAATTAAGATTTTTTTTTTCCTCCCTCTTACAGAAAGCAGGTCATTAGTTGCTCTCTGCGGAGCTGTGCCTGATGTCTGGTCAAATATTAGCAAATAGTTTTTAAGAGCTGAAACAAAAAATTAAGGCTCACATCATCACATCACATAGCAGCGAGTGAGTAACTCGACGAGGTTCCTGGTGGGAATGTGCCCAGGTGCGGGAAGCTTCCAGCACGGGCAGAGGCTGTGGATTTGGAGGCACATTCAGCAGGGTGTTGCACAGAGCACCCGGGTTTGGTGCCGTGCTCTGCCAGGGCATCCGTCTGGGCGCGAGGCTGCCGTGGAACCGGCCTCCCGCGGCCTCCCTAGGGCACCGGGGTTGTGGAGGCCGCGGGGCTGTGCTGGGCTGCGGCCGGCGGTGGTCCCGGAGCAGGACCTTGGTGCCGCTGGCGACGGCCGTGCGTGGCCTTTCCGTGGCAGCTGGAGGCCCCTCTTGCTCCCACAGCCCGTGCCCGAGAGCGGGTTTCGGAGAGAGGGGACGAGGCGGCGAGCTCTGCTCTGCTAGCCCGGCTCTGCCTCGAGCCCCTGCCCCCTTGGAGCTTCTCCTGCCGCCTCCCGGCTGCGTGCGCGGAGCAGGAGCCACCCGGGGGGCCTTGGAGCAGGGCTGGATGTGGGGAGAGGTCCCCACCTCCGCAGGGCCCCCGGGGACAGCGTGGATAAGAGCGTTATTTCTCCCCAGGCTTGTGAATCTAGCTTGGAATTAAATCACAAAATCACTTCTTTGCAGCAGTGATTTAAGCATTGAGCTCATCCTGCTACCATTAGAACGTTTGTGTCCTCACACTGGAATTAGGAGAGATGTAAAAAAGACTAATGGGATTTACGGCTTTGCTAATGATGGCTCCAGTAAAGCCAAGCCTTTTTCCTGTCCGTCTTTCCGTACAGCTTTATTTCTCCAAAGGCATCCTGAGCACCTGACAGGTGTTTGTGGCGTTGCACGGTTCTAATGAATCACTTCAGCCGTTGAAATGCAGCCATCTCCAGGGTGGAACTGAGCAGCTTTAGCATCTGTTTAACATCCCTCGGATAAGAGGAGAGGTTCTGTCACTGCAGATATGTTTATACTGCTTTTCTCGTCTCGTGTATGTCTGTAGCCAGATGCTGGTTTGTGCTTGCTGTGAGCTTAAAACCTATTTCAACAGATGCAGAGTGGGCAAGCGAAAGGCCCATTGAGGTGGATGAGCATCTGTCCGTCCCCATTTCATCTGCAGTTGCTTCTCAGCATTGATGTCCTTTTACCCTTAATTTTACAAGACAGGAGCTGTGGCCCCTTCGTGACGTTTGCTCTGCAGTCTGTTGCAACAGCTTCTGTGTAAATGAAACCCTAACGTGGAGGATCCGTGGAGTTGTCCCTGTCTGCTTCGCCTTTTCCCTCCCATCCCTTGTAATATCTGCAAGGAGAATTTCAGCGGGGCCCAAGGTCAATATTTACCAGCCAGATCTGTTGCGAACGAGACAACTTGAACCAGACGTTGAATTAATATGATGGAGACCATTTCCAAAAATAGCTGCCAGCCGCTTTTGCTTGACAGAAGTGTAAATTCGTGCTGTAGCTGAGTTTCCTTCCCAATTTATTTCCCGGCAGCCCTGACGGTGGCGGTGGACGCAGGGACGGGGTGAAGTCCCCGTGCCCGTGGGCGGCTGCTTGGTCGCTGCTCCTGCAGCGACGGTGCCTGCGTGAACAGCCTCTGCCCTTCACCTGCGCGGGGCCGTCGCTGGGACCTGCTTTAGGAAGGAAATGCAATTCCTGGTGCTTTGCTTGGGTTTTCAAAATTCCAGGTGGGCTGGGTGTTGCTGGAGCAGGTTAGTGGTGCCGCGAGTGGCCCGTGGTGCTGCCCTGACTCGATGCTGGTCCTTGGAGCCGTGTGGGAGCCGCCGGTGCGAGCGGAACAGGGAGAGGCGGCGCTCGGAGGCCGTGGTCCTTGCGGTCCCCCATGCCCTGGGATTCTTCCCTCCGATCCCCGTGGCTCGAGCAGGATCCCCGAGCCTGGCGCTCACCTCACTAGGAGCTGCTGCAAGCACCTGTGTCCGATGAAATGCTCCAACAAGTATCACAGGCACCAACAGCGGGAACACATCCCTGCCGCTGGGAGCATGGGAGCGATGTGCACAGCAAACGCACTCTGACCTGCCTATGGAATGGGACCTGGCATTGACATAACGAGGAAGCAGGTTGACGCGAATTGACTCCCGGGACGCTCGGCCCCGTGCGTTGAAGGTTGCGTGGGTCTGCCCGTGCTTTTGCACGCCGTGAAAGCGCCCCGTGCTAGGGCTGCTGCTCCCAGGCGTGGACCTAAATAGCTGCTTTGATCCATTATTGGGCTCAGCAGTAGCCTGCTGAAAAATGGGGGAGATGGGACTGCCTGCATGCTGAGGACAGGGCGTTATTGATGGCTGCAGGCGCCAGGTGAATCCAGCAGCGCGCGTGCTGTCATTAAGCTTTATGACAGCTCCTAATTGTTGCTGCTAACGATGAGCCAGGGTCTGTGGCAGCGCAGCGTGGCCCGTCGTGCTGCAGTTTCCTCGCCCCGTTTTCAGGCCTCCTCCTCGTGCTGCTCCTTGCAGAAAGGCGCGTGCAGCAGCGCCGGCGCGAGCGAGGCTGCATCCACCCCACGCAGGGTCTGTCCTCCCCAAATCGCTTCCAGTGGGTGCCTCTTTATCCCCTGCCTGGGGGTTTTACTGCCTTTCCGCACAGTCTCCTCCAGCACCTTCCTTTCCTTTTTGTTTGGCAGGTTCTCCTAGTGTCTCTATGTCGCCTATAAATCTCCCATGCAGTAATTTAAGCCTAACTTCTTGTCCTAGTCTCGATGAACAGGGAGAATGTTTCTCTCTTGGTAGATTGTGCCTTGTTACTAATACCTCCGGAAAGTCAGTATTATCTTTCCTGTGTTTGGCTTCTTGAGTGGTAGGTGAACCACTGGGTAAGCAGAGCCTTCAAAAAGATCATCCCACCCATGGTGAGCAATAGTTTTGCCGAGAAAAATACAGCTTTAAATGCTTTGAGATGAGAGCAGTTGCTTCATCGCTGCCAGGCTTTTGTTAGAGGGAAACTTGGTCAGCATTTTGAGCTGTTAAGAAACTTAGGCTAAAAGAGTTAAAGAAACTTAGACTAAAAATGTCATTTAGTGTAAAGATACCTCCTGAAGCCTCAGTTCCTCTCTTCCCTTGAAGCACAGCGAGAGATCCAGGCGTGTGGCGCTTAGGGCTTTTCACTTGTTTCATCTCTTACAGGTTGGCTTGCAAATGT